GAAAATGGAGTTTGTCTCTTTGAAAAGTCTAAGCATGATGCTGCCGAGCTCCCCAAACTCGGTTCAAAGCTTTGACTTAGCCAAGGTCATAAATATTCATGAGCTGGAGGAGCTGATTGGTCGGCTGTCTTGCATAATCACCGGGGATTGGTCCGAGACGCTCCGGCTCCGCTGGACTAGAGCGGGGAACTCGACCGGGCCTGGGGAGAGACGGGTCCACACTTCCCGGCCGGGGCTCCTCTGCGAGAGAGCGCGCGGTGCGAGACGCACAACGGGTTGAGCATCCGCGCTGGCACCTCCGAGGCCCAGATCTTCAGCCTCCCCGCCTCCCTTGTACGCTTTCCTTTCCGGAAACCAACCAGCCGCTCCGCGCTGTGGCCCTCCCCACTACTGTACCCACCCTTCGCCCGCCCCCAACACCTAGGACTTGGGACGACTTCGGGTCGCCACCAACCAAGTCCCATGCTGAGCTAGGACCGTGACAGACGCCGGTCACTGCCTTTCGACCTCGGAGTAGCGCGCTGGGGGGCGCCCAAGGCAGGCGACTGACAGCGATCCTCCAGAGCGTTTTGTGCCTAGCTCAGCGCCCTCCAAGCCGCGCCTCCTCCCAGGCCCCGTCCGCCGGGCGGCCACTTTCCCGGGGCTGGAACTTAGGGACCCTCCGGACCAACTCACTCACTCGGCCGCCGCCCCGCCGCCGCCGCCGCTCCCAGGGGCCCGCTGGCATTGCTCTTGGCCCAGCTGGCCACTCCAGCTCCGGGCTGAACGGGTCTGATCAGAACAGTGCGCGTGGAGGAGAGTCAGGAACCCGCGCTTCTCCTCCCAGGAGAGGCGGCTGCACCGCCTCCCTCCCCCAACACACACCCCTCTTTCCCTCCCAACCTTCCAGCGCCTCCCCCTCCCCTTTCTACTCCCCGCGAGCGCAGCGCCCCAGGCTCACTCGCCCGGAGCGCTCGGCGCAGCGTAGAGCCCCGGGGCGCACGGGCTCAGCGCAGGTTGAGCCGTAGACTTCAGTGGTTCATTTTCTGGCTCTCCTAGGATCTGGCGAGAGTAGCCAGGGTTTCGGAGTCCCCGGGAGACACCGAAACCCGCAGCAAAACCAGGCCTGTGGGAGGCTAGAGTATTTCTGCTTAGACAGGTCTCTCTTTGTCGCCCAAGATTTTCCTCACCTCCAGTGGTCAAAGCAGGCGCCTGTGGGCCTGGAGGAAAGGGCTGGAAGAGGCAAGAGCCAGCTGTGGCGCCTTCTGTCTTCTGGGGTGCTAGATATAGCAAAAAGCTCACAAAAAAGCCGCGAGGGCCCCCATCCCCCCACACGCCACTACTGCTACACGGCCGTCCCCTCGCGCCGGGGCGCAAACCACGCTGGCTGCTAGGGGCTGTTGGTTCCTCCATCTCTCCAGCCCCACGGTGAATCCCAAATTACTTTGTTAGGTAATTAGAAAGTGTTGATAATTATTTCTTTCATAATTTAGCGGTGTGACGGGAACGGGGAAATGATCTTGTGAAAGTTCACACGTGCAGATGTATTAGTTACTGATTCATTTGATTAAATGGTAGTCTCAAGTGCTCAGATCCGCAGCTGAAGGCGCCCCATTAGCATAACACTGATGTTTAATTTTCATACGCATAATTAGCCATATATTTAACACTAATAGCAACATGCAGCCTTTCAGCGTTAAACAGCCCGGGATTTGATCTGGCCTGAGCTGAACCTTCGCCGCTGCACCTTCTCCCGTCTGGAGTGTGCAATGATCACAGGACAAACCTCTGTAATCAAGCACATTTTGGCAGAGGGAACACCAATAAAAAATGAGCATTCAAAACAAATTACATCGGTGCTGTCGTTACAGATATTAGTAGCGGGGGGGGGGGAGTTCTCTTTTTTAAACTTCTGTAGCAACAGCTCCTGCCTGCAGAATTCCCCCTTCTTTGGTTTAAGGGCATGATGCTGGGGGCAGAAATACTTCAGGCAGCGTGGTTGGAGCAAAAGAGAAAAACAAAAGGGGAAAAAAAAACCCAACAACCCAAATCCTTCAGGCCAATAATGGGTTTGCCAACGCTTAAGTGAGTTTTTTTTTCCTTCTTCTTAATCACCGTGCCACACGATGAGGCTTTGTAGCAACAACCAACTAATGACTCCGCGGCTAGACAACTCTCCGAGCCGCTAGGCTCATCTTCCCTGTTGCACTTGTGGCTTTAATTGCTCCTTCCTAGAGCTTGTTTTGGGTGTGGAGTGGAGTGCTGACCTGTGCGCCCAGCACAGCCGCTCGGATGCGGTCAGAGCCTGGGGTCTCTCGCCAGCGCCTTTCGGGCCCTGCCTACGTAAGTGATCGCTGCGGCGGGTGTAGGGTAGAGGTTGGGCCGGGAAAGCGGGACTAGTGTCTCCCAGAGCTCAGGACCAGGCACGAGGAAACCCGACGGCCAGGCCGCGTGGGGCCGCTTTATCCCAGACAAGCGCAGGGTAGGGAAAGAAGAGAGGGGGGGGGACCCAAGTAACCACAGTGTCCTAGGTGCTCGTCTTAAAAGGGGAGGGTTATTACTTTCGCGGTGCAGGGGACCTGGTTGGATCTTGGGGAAAAAGTGTCCCGCACGAGATTCGTCCCGATCAGGTTTCAGTCTTGGCTTAATGTAGAATTGAATTGCGCGTTGGTGAGGGAGCACCACCAGGATGTCTTAACGCAGAGAAAGAAGCAGGTGTAAGGGCATGGCTGAGCCGAGGCCCTCGGCTCAACCAGTGCAACCTGGCCTTAGCTTCTCAATGTGCATTCTTCGCTCTGTGAGGCCTTAGTGGATTCCTCCCATCACCCCACCCTATGAGGCGAGGCGACATCTATTCTAAAATGCCCGTTTGCTTAGAGGGTTACCTGTTCCAACTATGAGAGGAAGCAATTCTCCCATTGGTCCTGAAGGTTTGCGGTTTTCGATTCTAGGTAGCGCTTACTAGAATCTTCTTAGGACCAAGTGGTGGCTCTGGTGGTATTAACATACCCCTGCTTAGTTAGAATCCCTGTGGTTCTGGGTTAAGTTTTTTTAGGTCAGTTCAGCTGACAGATGGGCAAGGAGACATAGACTAAAGGAGGTTTTATTTCCTAATCTCAACTTCAAAGAATGTTAAACAAAGTTCATTCCAATTCAAGTTGGTTTCCTACAGAGCTTCTGAGTATTGACAGTAATGAACATATATATACACATATATATATGCATATATGCACACACAAATATATACACATGTATGTCAGTCAGTTGAATAGGATTATATACTTTTCCCAAACACTTCTACCTCACAATAATTGAGCGTGTTACCCCAGTAGCTTGTAAAATCCTGTGGTCCTCAGAAAGCTATCCTTAGGGAAGCTGGGAGTAAAGGGATCTGCAGATAAAGATACTGCACTAATCGCTGCAATTTGATTGTTCTAGGAGACAAGTGAAGTCATTCTCTGGCAAACATCTTCCAGGGCCAGCTGGGCCCTGTTTCCCTCCAGGGAATAGGACTTGTTACTTGGCAGCAGACTTCACTCAGCTAACTCCAGAAAACCTAAAAGTTTATCCATGAGTCTTGTAAAACCTCAATCTCTCCTTTATCTTTTCCAGCTCTCAGATTTACTAGAAGCAGAATCACCTCTGTCCCAAACTCTACATTCCTGTACTGGAGAAATGAGCTGGAGGGTTGGGGAACGGCGCAGAGTCCTGAGTTCAAACTCATTCTCTTTCTGAGTCAGCTCATTGTCCTTGGTTTCTCAGTCCCTTCTTCTTCACTTCGGAGTCACAAAGATGAGCTAACTCCTGCTGGAGATCTACAGACCTCATGTGTCCTGGCAACTACAGGTGCCCACATGTCCTTGACTCAGGAGCCTGAAATCTATTTAGCTGATGGCCTCACTTTAGTATAAACAAGGGTTAGCACTCATTTGCTGACTTTTGGGACACTCTTATTGAACTTGTTCCTCAAACCATACCCCGGGAAAAGCTTCCTGAGAGACGACCTGAGGGCCCGCCCCGCCCTTGAGCCAGGTGTGAACAGGTGCAGGAGAGAAGCGCCAGGGAAGGAAGAGGGTACTCTGGGCAGAAATAAGCCGTGGGAAAGCGGGTGGAGGTGGATTTCTGCTTCTCAAGCAAGTTGGAGCTGGCTTGGCCAGCTTGGCCCTGGTCTTCTGTCTGGGATCCTTTGTGTTTCTGAACTGCGTTGATTTTTGCGGCCGGTGCAGAGCGCTGGGCGCCGGCCCCAAGAGACTTAGTCCAGGAGAGGTCAGTTTAGGGACTAGAGGACCTCGCTAATCTGCCTGATAGTCACATCTGGGCCAGTGGAGGGTTGCAGCTGGAATTCAGGGTGCGAGCCTGCGTGCGTGCGTGTTGGAGCGGGTGGGGGCTAGAAGGAAGGTCTTAAAGTTAATGGAGGGGGTGGTGGGGGAGGGTCCGGGGGGAACCGAGAAAGTCTAAGCTTCTAAAGTAATACAGCCTTGCGGAAGGGCCAGGCCCGGTGTGCAGTGTCAGGAAAATGTAATCACTGTTTCTGTTGTCGGGCTAATCTTTCACGGGAAAACCGTGATGAAGGGGGAAATGAACCCAGGGGCTGTCCTGAGAGCAAGTGCTGGCCTTTGGAAGCGCCCTCGGGGCCGGCCGACCTGGCATCTACAAGGAGGAAAGAAGACTTAAAAATTCAGCTAACAAGTTGGGGTTGTTCGGTGCGGGAGCACGCGTGGGTAAAAGCTCAGGGACTCCAAAACTAAGCCCACCTGACGGCAAGCCCGAGTTCCCCTCAGGAGTGTCAGACGCAAGGAAAGCAGGCGCAGTGAGTTTAAGAGGTTATTTTTATTATTATTAATTCATTCACCTTTCACTAACAAGGAAAAAGGAAAAGTGCGACCCTGGAGCTCCCGCGCTCCCAGAGGACGGCACCATCATGCCTCTCCAGACGGGTTGCTTAGCTCCCGCGGCTTACTCCACATGCCCACCCGGTTTTCCCCAAGACACTACCGGATACTACGTAGGTCACAGAACGACCTGCTGCTCCTTGGTTTCTAGAAGATTTCGGCAATTGGTGGAGGGGAGGGGGGCGAGGAGGGGAGCCTCTGCAGCCTTCGAGAGGCTTTTCAGGCCTCGTGGGACAGTTTGGTCAGGATCTTCGCGCCATGCGACGTAATGAGAACTGTGTGCTCGAACTGGGCGGCCCTGAAACACAAGGCAGCAGTCAGGAAGCAAGCCAGCAGAGAGGAGCTCTCTGTGCCCGCCCGCCGTCCACCCACCTTCCCTTTCCAAAGCAGCAAAGCAGAGAGCAAACACCTTTGGTTGTCTAGGGAGATCACAGTCCATGCATCTTCCAGGACTTTAAATTCAGTGGATCCCTCGGTGATGATTGGCTCTGTAAGAAGGAAAATGTTTACTGCAGTGACCCCATCCGATTCTTGTCAATGCCAAGCATTGTTTCGGTTGAGTACCAAAAAGAGAAGGGGGCGGGAGCGAGGGGAGGAATGAGGTTTCCCCTCCTCCTCTCAAGTGTTTCACCCACGGGTTCATGTTGTCATCTTGCAAGGGCTGATAATTGATGCCGCTTACATAGAATACTACAAGCTAAACAGTAGGAAGAGGAAATGCTACGGCATTAAAAAAAATGTATGAAGTTGCCTAGTTCATAATTTTTTAGAGACAGAAGGGCATTTTAATCAAGCCTTAATTAGGACCCTGTGGATAATAACCACCCAAACATCAGTCCCTCTTATAAATACTAGTCAGTTTTAAAAAATATTTGAATTTTAAAAACATGCTTAAAATGTTCATTAATCAGCAAATAACAATTTTCTTATTTCACTCTAATTGCTTCTCCATTAAGTCCCACAGTCAGAAATATGGAGGCCTCTGTGGCCCTAAGTGATTGGAACTTGGTGGTGATACCAATCACCAGATCAGCCAGGAATTGTCTCCCAGAGAGCACGTGCCACTTGCTGACAGGGAGCAAGGGACATAATCGCCTCTAGTTACTGGGTGTTAATGAAAAAAAAAAAGAACAAAACAAAACAAAAAAACAAACACCACATTACTCTGGTAACAGAATTAGATGTTGGATGGCTGCCGTCTTCTAAATGTGTCAGTAAGTATCAGATTTAGGAAGATAGGGCTTGAGGATATTATTTAATCAGATTTACTATGCATCCAAATTATTTCATTATGCTGATTGGCTGTATTAGTCCTTTTCAGTATTGAAGGCTTAGGCCAGTACAAGTTTCCACCCAGGAGCCCCAGCACCCTGAAGAGGAGCCCCTGTATTTACCTATAGTGAATACCATGCCCTCCTCCATGGGTAGATCATTGTTATTCGCTGCAAAAAAAAAATAGGGGGCTGTGATAAGAACCAAAGAAGGAAAGAGGGCAACCATCAGGGAAGATGGACTGCCTTAAGATTTGTCATTTATTTTCTTTTAGGCTTCTAGACTACTGGCTAATCCCCAAGGGTTAGAAAAAGACTCCCAATCTTCTGCCTTTGTAGTACCAGTGCTCTGAGTCAAGTCTTCCACTCCCTAGCAGCATGCCAAGGCTTGGTAAGGGCAGTCTGGGGATGTCATGTGCCTGTAGAGATTCCTCTCCTCTGCCTCTGATGTTCCCCAGGATAGCTGCTGCTAGTTCCCTGGTCCCAGTTGGTCCTGGGCCTTGCCTCACCTCTGCCTCAAAAAGTAATGTCTTGGGGAAAGATGCAAAGAAAAGACAGGTTAGAGCGGAAGGCAGGGTCTCCATACTCCAATAACTTAACTCAAGGCACTGGCAGTGGGTGGGGGTACATGGCTCTTCAGGCCTTTGCAATATCTCATCTCTACTGCTTTTGAGCTGCCTCAGGTGGAGCTCTTTGGCCTAAAGAGATTTTATCCTACTGGATCTCTAGAGAGGGTTCTAGGCAGTAGTTGGCCTAGAAAGATGGCCATTTGCCATCTTTCCTGGTGCTTGGTCCTTGTCTGAATGTACACCCCATTTGGGACTCCTCCATGTAGGTGGTTCCTACTTTAACCCATATCCTATCACTCCTTAGGGGCCACTCCTGCCTTCTCATTGTAGGTGCACACCCAAGCAGTGAAAAACAGGAGATTCTTAGGAAGGAATACAAGGGTGGGCCTAATGTAGAAATCACTGAAAAGTACATGCTGCTAAATATACCAGCTGTCAACGCAGTGTAGGATGCAATGAAATTTAACCACAACAGTCAGTATTAGAAAAGAGGATAGGAAAACAGAAAACAGTCATATGTGCATGGTTTGGGGAGTTAGTTCAGTGGAAAAGCACTTGCCTAGCAAGTACAAGGCCTTGAGCCCAGTCCTCAGCTTTGCAAACACACACACACACACCCCAGAAAAAAAAAAAGAAAAAGAAGATTGAAACAGTCATATGTGCATGCTGCTGGGGCACTGATGAAGTGACGTGTGGTTTTCAGTAACTTTTTCTAGACAAATATTCCCTGTGCCTCGCAGTCATGCACCTTTCAGGAGAAAACAAAAATGCAAAAATAAACCTTATTTGGGGATTGAAACTGCTGGGTTCTAATCTGGTAGCATAGCAATATATTGCTAAATTTTTGTAGATAGCTCATACTTGCAAACAGACAATTGTACATACATGAGAGTGTGGATTCTGAGTGAGAGGAAGAACTTTAGGAGCAAAGAAAGCTATCTTATCAAAAGGGCTTCCAAAGTGAGTTTCTTACCATGATGCCAAATTTCTGGATGTCCATGAAAATAAGATCCTATTCCATGTCCCACGAAATAAGGACAGACTTGTAAACCATTCTGATGAGTTATATGGCTTTAAAGTAACCACAGATATTTACCTAAATTAAATGTTTGTATTGCATACTAAGATAAAAAGAAAGTCACTTTAAAATATTCTCTGGAAAAGAAAAACAAATTCTATTTAGAGTCAGATAACATTAACATTTTCTTTATTCTGGAACAATTTTAATTCTGCCAATACTTATTATTAGCAACTCCCTTTGGATATATGAATTAAGTAGCCATGTAAATAACTAGCCATGTAGTTTGAGTCACTTAGTACAGCATTGGTCATTTTTAGACAAGAAATGAATTTGTATACATAAAAGCATAGATTATACAGACATATATTTATATATTTAAGATATATGTGGATAATGCAGACAATAAAACCTACCTGCTATTTTACAGCTTTATAGGTAAATTACTGTGCAATTACTACTAATTTGGGAACTAAACAAGAAAATTACAATGTACAAATATGACTTTCCACTATGGATTCTTCTGATCTATTTCAAAATATTTTACATTTTATAGACACAAAACAGAAAAGATCAAGTCTGCTTTGTTAATATGACTTTTTAAATCTTTAGTTGTACAAAACGGTTTTAATTCAATGTGTTAATTTATGAGTGCAATGTACCTTGGTCAGTGTTACTCCTTAATATTCTTGAAACATTCCAAAACTTTTGATTGCTTGGAGTTTTACTCAAGACCTATCCCATTAACAAAATTCATAAAGAATGTTTTTTTAATCACTATGTTTATGAGATGATAATGCTGATTCTAGGTTCTAAATGCTTCATTAGTTATTTAGGATATAAATGTTTTCAACAAAATCTAGCATATAGAATTCCACCTAACAACATCTACAAGGCTGAAAAGTGTGTGTTGAAATTGGGGTAATATATTGATTCCTGAGAGCACTAGATTTACACATTATAAATCACTAGTGATTTATATTTCCATATGGATGAAGTAGTTGCCAGCAGATTCTAGGTTTAACATGAACCCTTGTAGCCAGAAGCTTTGCGGACATTCATTGCCATATGCACTTTTTATAACTTTTGTTACTGAGACAATCTCAGGGTGTAACCCAAATTTGAACTTGTGATCCTCCTGCTGGGATCACAGTCATGTATCACCATGCCTGGCTTAATTTTTAAAAAGATTTTTTAACAATACTAAGATTTGGAAGATATCTTCACTTAGACAAGGATGTCACTATAACCAGCAGATAGCAATTTCTCATTGAGATTTACTTTTGATGTCGCTGATAGTGCCGAAATAGGTATGTTATGTATACATCGAGGACAGGAATAAATCCATGTTTTTATTCCTTACGTTGTATTTTAACTATTATTTCTTTGGGCAAGAGGTACAAAATCTTTTCTAAGGTGTTTTTATTTGTTCCACATAAGTTCTGAATAGAAACTGAGGATGGAGAGTGGATGCAGGGTGGAAGAGAGATGATTAAGTAAGCCATTATAGTCTAGATTGCTTTTTTTTTTTCTTGAAAGAATAACTGCTCCCTAAACCTATAAATTGTGTTAGTTCAGGCTCAACAAACCTCAGTGTTTCAAAAAGCATTCAATAAAAACTATTCTATTTTCTTTTCTTAAGAAAAAAAATCTAGGGTTTTTTTCTCCCCCCAAGGACCTAACTGATTGGCAGGCATCACAGCTACATCTTATATGTGTGTTACAATGGCAATCTTCATTTTAATTTCCGATGAGAGGAGAGGAAGAAAGCCCACTCTGAAAACCTTTGGAGTCCCTCCCCCCCATCATACCTCTCATTCCTCTTTATAAAAGAAGCTGTGCAATTACTAGGTGGCTAAAGATATCTGAGTACATTCTCCTACAACAATTTACTCCTGGGGTCCTGCTGGAACTTCTGGTTACAGGAGTATCATAGAATCTATGTGTCATGGATTCAAAGGTTAGGGGATTTCACAGCCATGTAAAAAGAGAAAAAGAACAGGAACAATTTCCTTAGTTCCTTGGTTGAGTTCTCAGCTCAATGCTGATTCCCTAAAGCTAAAAATATACTCTGTTCGATTTTCAGAGTATATTCCCTTTGGATTGGGAGTTCGTTTTTAATATACACATACTGGGACTAAATGAGATCAACTCTTATTAATATGTGTAATTACATTTAAAAGCATGTTCCTTCAACTATTTTGGGATACATAGGGAGCACAAGATTATTTGCCTGACTGTAGGGTTTCAACTGGACTTCATATTGATTATCCAAGTGACTTGTAGCAGCAACGTCTACTCTTCTAACAGGAAAGCAAAGGCTGGTCACCTTAATTATGGCATGGGAAGGTGGAATGTGCATCTACCTCTTCACTGCTCTGTTGGGAGAGTAGAAATAGTAGAATAGGCAGGAATTTCCAAGGAGAGCCACATTTGTTCCTCAATATCAGCCTACTACAGGACCACAACCCATTTCTGAGCATGGGGTTTTCTTGCCTTGAACATTTCATAGATGAAATCTTCCTTCTCTTTGCTGGAATCTACTGAAATGAACTCCCCTGACATTAGCTTTTTGGTTCTGATTTCCTGTAACTACAAATCCTTTAAGGCATCTATCTATTCATTTATGATTTGAAGCCTTTCATATGGAATGCTGGGGGAAAGAGAAGAGAAAGAAGGTATATAAAGGTAGTTTATTAACTTACTTTTCAATTACACTGTATTATTAAGTTCATGTTTTACTTACAGTTTATATTTTTAAGAGGAATTTCTTTTAAGGAATTTCTTGTGATCATTTTCTTCAGTTTATGATGTAATTGGACTCATTTAAAGTATTGTCTAGTAAGTATAATTTCTTAATAATTTTAGCAACATGTGGACTAAAAATATATTCCCCAAGAGGGCAGAGGAGTACTATGTTTAAGTACATGTTCTCATAAAGATATGAAAATGCATGTGGAAATAGCTTTGTTGCCATTTTTACATGAATTCTATAAGCAACACTAATCTCCAAAGGGTCACATCTCTAATCAAGGATCTTAAATGGCACTTAATAAGTTATAGAATTTTACTTTAATTTCGTGTATTTTTCACTTAACTAGTAGCTTCTGAATAAAGGAATGCATAAAACCAAGGATTCCCTGTAATGACAGGAATGTTTACATATAATTAGTAATATTTTTGAAAGCCAACAACTGTTTTCCAGAGAGTATTACATTTTTTTTGTTTCAAACTGGATCACAAATTACTGTGTTTTTCTTACAATGGTGCTGAACTTTTATTTGTGGTTTTCTGTTTTTGAAAAGCAGACATGATGGATTGAAATAAAAGATAATTTATTGCAATGCTTACTTTCATGTGCAGAGAGAAGCAGTGTAATTGTAATTTACAGTAGCTGTCAAGAAAAATCCATCACAGATGACATTAAAATGACTTATTTTGCCTGAGCCACTTATTGTTTAAATGTGCATAATCTAATAGAGATTATTTTTAAAAATCTGCCTTATATATTGTTCTAAATTAATATCAAAACATATACTTATGAATTAAACATTAAAAACCATTTATTGATACTTTCGTCATGACATTTACAACTATAAGTTTGAATTATTTTTCATTAAACTGTCATATATTTGTGAGGCATGGATCTACACATTAATGATATTCTCACACTTACTGATAATATAATCTAAAATTTAAAAACAGAGAATTATAAATATTACAAAATAAGTGGAGTCATGGTGAGTATGGTAACACTATGGCCTAAAGATCATCAGGTATCACTCACAAAACAAAAGGGAACAGAGAAAACTCTTTGCACAAAATTATTTTAGCGGATATTTCTTCAGAGACAATGCCTTATTCTTTAGGTTTTAGAGGAGAATTTCAATTTTCCTGCAGAAATCTCAAGGTTTTGAGTAAACAAGACGCTTGAATGTCCATTTCAGAGTGTAGATGGAGAGTATGCAAAGATGGTGAATAACTTAAAACAAACAAGACCAAGTTGAAAGATGTTTGTAAACCTTTGGTCTGTAAAGATTTGAAGTAGTGTTTGGCTCAAAGGTGTATATCACTTGTTTCTTTACACCCTTAAGATCTTGCCTGCATCAGAAAAAGCAAAAACAATAGATGCCCAGAAACACTGCTTTAACATATCAGAAGAAACATTTGTTAGAATTGAGGCCAGCTTCCTCATCAGCGGCAGACATAAACCATCTAAATAATGAAATGCATTAGGGTAAAAGAAAAAAGTTCATTGTCTATTATTTTCCACGTAGTTTTCTATGTGCAGTTGTTGGGACTGATCTGGTTTTCAAAGGAGCTTGTGCATGCAAATTCATATTCTGCAAAAACTGACCTTTGAATCCAGATAGCTAAAATCCAATGTCACTGTCAATTCTACTCTTCTTTTTTTTTTTTTTATGTAGCTAGAATTAATGTAGTGAATATGTAATGAAATGCATTATCCTGCATGGAGATTTATCAGATTTTCCAACTGAATGCTATGCTTTGCTAGTACTAGCTGGAGTTCACCTGCATGTTGGTGTGGCGTGTGGCTCTTTTTTGTAAAGAGTTAAGTCGTACACAAAAAAAGGGAACAAAGGTCAGCACCCAGCCACCACTTGAATGTGAGATTTTTCTTTTTATTCCCCTTGATGTATACTAGGCTCTGTGTTATTAGTCTTAATGATGGAAAATTGTAGTGTTGATACAAATCTTTTTTTCAAAGTAGTAGGCGGGAGCTCCATTTGTTAGTAAGTTTTTTTTGTGACTAAAAGCCACGGACAGTACATTTATGTAGCAGTAAAAGGCCTAGATGCTCTTTCCATAGCAGAGCTAATTATTCCTACTGTGACCTTACTGATCTAGCCTGTTCCTAGTACATCTCATCTGCACGCCTGTTCCTCTGTGTAGATGGTGTCAGAGAATATGAAAAACCCTATAATGAAACCATTTTCATGATGGAGAAAGGCTACTGGAGTTGCACTTGCTACAAAGAGGCTCAATTATATGAGTAATTGTGATAATTTTCTACATTCATAGCCTTCAATGGGGAAAAAAGAATGAGAGCCACAAAGGAAAATTACTTTAACAAGAAAGTACAGAGAGTAAAAATGGAAGAAGAGACAAAAAGGGGAAAAAATAACCAGAAAAAAAAGTTTAAAAAATAGATCTGGAGGGAGGAATAGCGAGACAGGGAGAACAACAGAAATGCTCAAAAGCCCATGTGCAGCTGTGTTGCACAATTAAATTGAATTTTTTTTCTGCAGTTGATGAATGTGACTACTGCAAATGTGCCTCTGTAGTTAGCTATCATTTGTTGTTCCGTGACAGGAAAAGGATAATTACCTCTCAGAGAGAATCAAAGGCTGACATGCCCTTTAGACACAGCCATGAATGCAGAGCTCGATAGAATGCTTGAATAAGAATCTAGTGTTCTCTGCCCCCTTCTACTGAAGAATAAATTTTGTTAAAATGCAAGAGCACCACCAGTAAATTTGTTGAACCCTAGGTGTTCAAAAATATGAGGTGCATCTATCGACTCATCCCATTTGCAAAAATAAAACTGCATTTTGAATTCATTTCTATTATATTCATGGACAGTAAGATAGTGAGATATGCATTAAATTTCTTTTCCCAGTAGGGGTCTGATTCAACATTTCCTATGAAAGAACAGAGAGACACTATCCTTTTTTCCCAGGCTAGTTAGCCTATAATTTAAAACTGTCAAAAACACAATTTTGTTCAAAGTCTTCAATAAAAGCTTCTCAGATAAAACCCAAAGAGATTTTACTAAAGTTTGATTCAGACACTGTTACAATATTTTTAAAGCCATAAATACATTTAACTGATATTTTACTGCCTTTTTTCTTAAAGTATTTGAAGGCGTATGCAGAAAGAGGCAGCATCTTTTCAAGGTGACTAAGCTCTCCATCCTTTGGACAAATGGGAAGTGTTCAAAGGTTCAAATTAATGAGAACAGTACTTGAAAGGGTACTGATGTGATCATCTTTTAACAAAATGTGTTACTTTTAAATGAAAACACATATTTTACATGGCAACTTCACAACATTTAGGGAAAGAAAAGCCTGAATAAAAGTAACAGATTATAAAGAAAAGTCTTGAATTCAGAAAATAGGCATACATACACTCAAAAACAAACATAGGATACTGTGTAGAAAATAAGCAATGCCTCCCCACCTCTCCCACCCCCTCCAAAAGACAGAAGACCACTCTTTTAGGCTATTTGCTAATCCAATTGGAAAGGTAAGGCTTGCCTGAGTTAATACTTTTTATCTTTGTATCATAGATAAAAACTGTTTCATACTTTACTTCATTTTCTTATAAAACTTAGCTTTTCGTATTTACTCTCCAATGGGTTGGGATGCTTCAGCCCCTTCTTAGGTACTGTATTTCATATTTGGTGTGTTTTTGAGTAAAGAATATCACAGACCAAACATGTCAAGCTAAAACAAGAGCAGCATAAGTTTTGCTTGCTGCTTCAATAAGTTTCTCTGCTGACCCTGTATAATTCACTTTTTAAAAATCTTTTTCTTTTTTTTTCCTTCAGCCCACAGAACAATATTGCAGTCTGGCAGTTCACCTACTGATATCAGACTGAAATGATGGTTCTGAATCATAAAACATGTCATCAACTTTATACCAAGCCACCAATAACCTTTGTACCATTTGCCAACCCTCCCTTTACTTGTCAGTATAAGGCTTACCTGATTGTGTTTCCAATTACAGAGAAGGGGGCCCCAGCTCTGCAAGCAGCAATTGCTTCATCTCTACACCTCCTGGCAACCTCCACTAACTTTTTACCACATTCATCCACATTGCCCACCAAAAATGTCTCCGAAGTGTCTCCATGGTAGCCATTATAATAGACCTGAATACAGGCAGAAAATTTAAAATACATTTGTGCTTAAAAATCTAGTCTAAGTATATATAGTGTTCATGTATGTATTTAATAAATTCATGTGTTTACATTTCCAGAATTGTTGTTCATTTGTCTACATACTGTATACTGATACATCAGTGCAATGTAAAAGATGAAGTTATTCAACAATACTGAAGAATATGTTGTTGCTAATAAAAGCAAAAACATGATTAGCATTGCTATTTCATCATTATGACTAGCAATACTATTGTAACATCTTGATTCTTCATTTTGTTTTTGAGGAAGTCAAAACTATACATACAAAAATTAGTGATCACAGTATCTTGACCTACAATTACAATAGATCTAGAAAACTAAGTATTTAACATACTAAAAGTTTCTTCAGTACCATCAAGATTTACATGATCTTTCATTTACCAGTTCTATATTTGGAAGTGATACATAACAACAAGAAGAAATAAAATGACATGTCAGCATTATAATGGATGTTAGGATAATTTAGTTGCAACATTTGAAGTGTAGGAATGAGCAATGTTACAGAAAAATTCTACGTCTAGAGAGATGAAATCTTAATCGAGTGTTCCAGGTATTCCACAGAGCAGAATGCTAACAAAAAAACCCACTGTAGATGGATTTTTTAAAAAGAATCAATACATAACAAAACAGGCTTAAATGTAACATTACATAAGATATAATTTTATTGGTCTTCAATGATTCATAATTCCTACAGTATCTTGAAAGACATCAGATTCATTATTTCAAAAAAATCAATGATTCTGAAACACTATAATAAATATGAAAGGCAGAGGGACTGATGAACTATTAATCTTTGGATGTAGCATGGTATTTACATTTTGCATAAATTTGTCCTAATTATTTTTACAGTTTCTCATAAAGTAGAATTCAGAAACTATTAATTAAAAATATAATTATTTGAGTTTTCCAACTATTTTAATACTAAATTAAATCATTTTCAGGTTGTTAGGTAACAGGCTCAGATAAGAAACTTTTTGGTGAAAGAATATGGAGGTAGATGCAAATTAAAGTAACAAATTGTTGCTTTTATTCAAGTGTTTTCACTACTATATCAAACTGTCTTAATTTCCTTCTAATAGAGGTAATTTTTATATACAATTTTCCACTTATAGTCCTTTACAATACAGGAAAGTGTAAGTTTTGATTTTATATACAAGAATATAAAGTTTGCTAATTTAAGAGTATTACAGAAAAAAATGTTAACTGAATGTTTATGCAACCATTTTGAGGGGGTCCTTTCCTTCATTCTTTCATGGTACTGGTTTAGGGCCTTGTACTTGCTAGGCAGGTGCTCTACCAATTGAACCATGCCTCCAGACCTATGAGACGTTTTTTTGTCTAAGACTGAGACTCAAACTTAGTATATGATGCTTGCTTTTGCACATTGGCTGGCACTCTACCACCTAAGACATGCCTGCAAACCAAAATCTGTTTATTTGAAGTAAAAATGTATCACTATAATTTTTTAAAATTTGCTATCTCATATTCCTTTTTGGTACCTTTCAAACTGACTACTTTAATCAATACATATGGAATACAATATTTTTTAAAGTCTGAAGTAGTCATTTGTAACTACTGTTTGTTTCTACAAAGTATTCTTGTTTGTCTTTCATTTAATAAGTATTTACTTATTTTGTTATTTTTTTTGTTGGTCGTGGGGTCTGAACTCTGGGCCTGGGTGCTGTCCCTCAGCTCTTCAGCTCAAGGCCAGTGCTCTACCACCTGAGCCACAGCGCCACTTCCGGCTTTTTCATTTTTGCTTATGTGGTGCTGAGGAATCGAACCCAGGGCCTCAGGCAAGCAAGGCTCAAGGGGTAGAGTGCTAGCCTTGAGCTGAAGAGTTGAGGGACAGCGCTCAGGCCCAGAGTTCAGGCCCCACGACCGGACCCAAAAAAAAATGTAAATAAGTATTTATTGAGCAACTACTATGACCCACATTGTCTTTTTAAAAAAAAATTAACTTTGAAGAAAATCCATTTTCTTATGATACATACAAGACATAAATACCAGTAAAATGTAATGAGTTTTTTTCTGCAAGAAGTTAGGACTTGGTAACAGAAATCTTTGGTTTAAAAAATATTTCAGTTGGCCACCAGTGGCTCACACTTGTAATCCTAGCTACTCAGGAGGCTGAGATTTAAGGCCTATGGCTCAAAGCTACTTCAGGCAGAAAAATCTATGAGACTTTTATAACCAATAAATTACTCAGAAACTAGAAGTGGAGATGTGGCTCAAAGTGGTAGAGTGCTAGCCTTGAGCACAAAAGCTCAGAGACAGCACCTAGGCCCTGAGTTCAAGCCCCATGATCAATAACAGCAACAACAAAAATTCATAAGAAATTTAGTTTGTTAGCAGTGGCTTGTGCCTGTAATCCTAGCTACTCAGGAGGTTGAGATCTGTGGATCAAAGTTCAAAGTCATCCCAGGCAGTAAAGTCCATAATTAATCACCAAAATTTGGAAGTGGGGATGTGGCTCAAGAGGAAGAGTACTGGGCTGGGAAGGTGGCTCAGTGGTATAGCGCTTGCCTTGCTATGCCTCAGGCCCTGGGTTCGATTCCTCAGAATCACATAAGCAAAAAGAAACAAGCCGGAAGTGGCGCTGTGGCTCAAGTGGCAGAGCGCTAGCCTTGAGCTGAAGAGCTGAGGGACAGAGCCCAGGCCCAGAGTTTAGGCCCCACGACTGGACCCCCCCCCCAAAAAAAGAGGAAGAGTACTGGCCCTGAGTGATAGATAAAGCTAGGGAACAGCAGCTAGGCCCTGAATTCAAGCACCAGTACTGCCTCCCCCAAGAGAAAGAAATATGAAATTGTTTTTACATTTTTTGAAGATTGTGTCCATTTTATTCAAGCTTCAATATTTTATTAGAAGATGACTATGGGAGATGATAAATGTAAAACCTTAAAATCAGATTCCGTATAAACTAAAAATATATTAGGAAAATTTTTATTTCTAACACACTTCAGTGAAAAGCCTTAAGTGATTCTGATTGGGAAGATATCAATAGGATAAGTAGAACAAATGTTCATTTATTCTAAATAGGACAAAATGACACAGGAAATAATATCAGCAATAAAAGAATCTTTACCCATATCCTTGTACAAATTGATATGAGGAAAAAAAAGTTTGAATTAATTTAAACAAGTAAAATTCTGACTGAATTCAACTACTGGATGGCTATTTCCATTTCCTCATTCTTACCTAAGTTACATAGATGGATATTAAAATACTAAAAAATTCCTCATTCATAAAAACTTTATTCCTTGAATGGCACTGATCACAAACAGTTCTTATTAATGTTTACCTTTTGTTTATTTAAAATCTTTTAATCTTAACTGTACAGATTTTATTTATAATCTCCAGAATCCAAAGGTACTATTAAAAATTATAATCAAATGAACACAAGTGATCCAAGTCTGAGAATAGTGAAATACTACAAAAATTAGAAAAGAGTGTAGCTTATATAATTGGAAGTCCCTATGTTAAACTACTGAGGCTTGTTATTTCAAAGAAAAAACACTAATTATTCAGTGAAAACTTCAGTTTAGAGAGAAAACAACTCTGCTTGTATGTTTTGAGCTCAAGGCTTTCTATACCAGAAATGGTACACAATGTTACCTTCAGGGATTTTAATAAATCTAGGGAACACTGCTAGCAAAAGAGTTGCTGTCCAAATAGACTGACACACAGGCCAATGTAGCCCCTAATGACAGAGTAAGATAATGACAGGCCCCACTCAAAATCAGCAGGAAGAGGAAGATCAATCTTGGCAGAGTGAAGGAGAAATGCTGGCTTTCTTCGTGTTAGCTCATCTCATACATATCTAGCTTCACCAGCTGCCCAGTGCTATGGCGCTCTGCATTAACTACACAGTGGATCAATAACAATTACACCTTCTCAAAAACATGACACATAGCAGGATTGGGTTGACATTTCACTTAGGCCAACATTGATCTCAGTGCATCTGATTCCAGCCCTAAATTCAAGTCAGGCCTGAGTTTACTTGGAATAAACACAGAGTTAAAGACAAAAAAGGAAACCAGCTGCTTGCGTCTGGGGCTAGAAGTAAACAGCATTTCTACCAGTGCAGTTCACATTTTCAATCTACTTCTTCCTGTTGCTACTAGCAATTCTGAAGGTGATCAAAGACTATTTTTTATACTATTTACTCACTGTGACATCAATGTTGATAATATCTCCATCCTGAAGAGGTCGACTAAAACATAAACAGAAAAAAAAATTGTGATAAACAAGTATGGTGATAGGCAGATCTCAATAAAAGGAATAACCAATGATTACTATAACGAGCTCAATGAGTTGCAAAAGTCTGGAGTGAAGGAGGAATAAATGAGAAAGTGTATCTGACCTTTATCTTATATAACTTACACCACATTTTAGAAGTAGGATATGAAAAGAACATATTGCCATTGTTTAAGAAGTGACCGTTCTTTCAAAGTATGTATTTAAAACTAAACTCAGTGTAGGGCACCTTCTTAGCATCTGCAAGGCGTTGGGTTTGATTCCTAGTGCTAGGAAAAAAAATACTTACTAGTTACGTTAAATTTATAAAAAGGAACAATGACAGTTGATAACAACAATTTGCCTACATTGAATTTTATCACTTAAGTTGCAAAAACTGAAGGTAAAGGAGATAATGCACAACTACTACTTTTGTAGATCACACTGTGGTTTAACAAACATTAAATAGTCATATTACATTCATCTCAAAGCAAAACATTCTTTGTTTTATCATAATTGACTTCACTGAACTATAGTACATTTCAACATATGCTATAGATCTTAGTTTTATGTTTTATTTCCAAAAGGAACAGTATGTTACTAAAAATGGATACCTGTCAGGAATACCATGACAAAGCACGTTGTTTACAGAGGTACAAACAGATTTTGGAAAACCTCCATAGCCTAGAGGTGAGGGATAGGCATTATGACTGATGATTTCCTGATGAACAAGAGCATCTATCTCTTCAGTTGTCATATCAACCTAAAATATAAAAGAAATTGTGTAGTGACAGTTGAAGACAGTCCCTGTATTTTTTGACTATGCTTATAATGACACTTCCATGTGAGATTGTATAAATTAATTATGATGAGCTTATGGCATAACACTGTAATTAATTATGACCAGTGTTACCATCCTCAATTGTGTTTTCTGATGATCATTTAGGTATATGGTGGTAAACACACTATTAGGAATTAGAACGTTTTTTTTAAACTCTAGGCTCCTCTAAATCTTTTGTGAGTCATTAAATGACTCATTTGTAGCATGAAGATTTCAACAATATGTTCTTCAGCAACTCCTGTCTCTTCCTGGTTAGTGTTCTGGCTAATGGAAACAAATAAATCAATGCTCAAAGGAAATTTCAGTTTAGATAAGGCTTGAAAAATAGGTCAACTCACATCGTTTTCTCTCAGTGAAACATTACATGGGTTTGTAGCAATGACATGGAGATTATGGGTCATCATTTAGAAAACTGATTCTGCTATATTTCATAAAGATTTGATTTTCCCTAGTTTTGATTTCTTTTTTGCTAACTAAATGTGTGCGTTTTTTAAAAAGGTCCCTCTTACTATAGGGTAATTAATTACTTCTAAACAGGGAAAATTAAATACGTGTGCGTGTGTGCGTGCGTGCATGTGTGTGTGTGTGTATGTGTGTGTGTGTTGTGTGTTGCTGGGATCAAACTCAGAGCCCCACACATGCTAGGTAAGTATTCTACTATTGAGCTAACCCCAGTCTCCGAAATTGTTTTACAAATATATGAAAAATATATCCATGAAATACATCATAAATTATAAAAATTCTAAACAAAAATCGAATCTCTTATTTAACATATTTACTCAATAATTTCTGTCATTTTACATTCACATTATATTTAGTTATACTGCTATAACAAACTTATTATATAGATTACATTGTAATGATTTTCATCTTCCTAAATTCTGTCCACTTATTGAAAAGTATATATTTTCTTTTATGATAGTACTTTGTTTTAGATTATTATGAAAGAACTAAATCGTGTATAGGATGGTTGTAAATAATATTGCCATATTATCTATAGCTTTGTGTATCTGCTGTGATCTCTTGTTATAAAATAAGAGGCAAATACAAGTTAGACCAACTCCTCAGACACACAGAAATAGTTCAGGAAAAAAAAGCAGAAGCTATAGGCAAAGGACAAAAGTCAAAGCTGTCTGCCATTGATCAACTTGTATTGGTTGATTTAACCTAGAATTCTATCCTAGAATTCTGCTAGTTAAAACTCAATTTGGATTTGAAGTTACCTCTTGAATGAACATAGCACTTATAATTAAAAAAAACCTTTTCTCCCACTCCAAGAATCCTTAATTTTTAAAATAAAAAACAAATTAGATGTGTCCCAAAGAAGTTTTAAGAGAAAGAGAGAAAAAGAACAATGTTAGTGGTCTCTTATGAAAGTCCTACTGAAGGTTGGTAAGACGCCACCTTTAAACTCTTCCCAGCCAGGAGGAGGACATGACGGGCCAGCTGACAAGCCTGATGAAGCCCTTGAATCTGATCTTCATTCTTAACTTCTATGCTGTCTCCCCAGTCGGGTACAATGCCTGTCGTCACATAGTCTGGCTTCTTTATGTGCTTGTGGAAAAAGGATTGAAAATGAAGATCAGAACCCAGGGCACGACAATGGGATCATTTTTTCGGACACAGCCTCCTGCTTCATGGAGCTCTGCCCTTCCTGCCGGAGCACCGACCTCCAAAGCCAGTACAACAGACCCTCCAGGCTGCCCCCAGTTCCTTCCCTTGCCCTTTTGAACTTAACATTGCCTGTTAGTGCTGCTTCTGGATGGTCTGTTAACCTCACCATGCTTTGAGTCAAATTTGACTGAAGTAGACTTCTGGTCAAAACAAATAGTAGTTTTCTTTTCTTCTTCCACCCAACCCTGTTGGAAGCATATCATCACGAATGAAAAAGACCACCGAGTTTCCAATCTGCCAAATGGTTAATTAGGAGGCACTTTCTCAACACAAAGTTAAAATTTGTGCAAGTTATGTCTCCCAATACCCTCTCCCATGAATATATGTGAAAAGTGGACTGTCTCCATCAAAGCATTTCACACAGACACTTTCCTTATACTTGGCAACCCGACTTCAACAGAGTTCTAGATGATAAAACAAAAAAGCCTTCTATTCTTTTTTTCTTCCCTCAAATACATAAAAAAAAAATTACCCAGGATGCTTCAGCAACAAACAAATAGAGCTCTAAATAGAAAAAAAAAAGAACCCTCAAAACATTCGATCCAGATCACTCTTGTAGACCATCCACTTCCTTACATCCACTGGCAGTATTCAGAAAATACTATCTTACATACAGAGCTTCTTTCAGCCCCAAGGTTTCACATAGCCCTTAATAAGTTGTTTATAATAACTATACCTAAGTATTGTTGAACAAAATACGAAACAGTAAGGCTACACAGCAGTTTGGGATGAGGATGAGGACCACACTATTAGATGACAACATCATACAAAGTTTCATGCTGGATTTTACGATTTTACTTTTGTTCAGAGAGGCTTTTCTCATTCAGGTAATGGACCTGCCTAGCACTGGAAGAACAGCTACCCCACCAATGTCTACACATCACTTGGTTTCTCCCAAACAGCCTATGTTCTTATCTTCATTCTGCTCCATGATCTGGTAAGGTTACAATGCAGCCAGAGGGACTACTGATATGCCATTAAAATGTCTAAAACTCACTTTACCTAGGCAGAGATGTCTTTTTTTTCTTTTATACTAAGGAACAATAATGACAATTTATGATTAATCAGGCCTTAGCCAAGCCAGGAATATACTCTGAGTTCTAGTTACCCTTCTGCCTCACAAGTTCTCATTACAAAAATGGACCACTCACTTTTAGGAGGTATAACATAGTTAATCTTGATTCACTATAAAGAAGACATATTAGTAGAAATCACACAAACACACACATATGCTATTCTCTTTCTTCCAAAATGACCCACACATCTCTTTTATATTGCATTTTGGAAAATGGAGAGTTTTTATTTCTCTCTCAGAGTTCAATCACTGAAAAAAAATCAAGGTGTTTAATTTACTCTAAAGGAGTATTAATGACATGGAGCATTAATAACACAGAAAGTATAACATCAGGTCTAAAAACAATCCAGTGTATTAGTTTCAAATAATCTCTCTTGAGCCCAATTTTATAGTCAAAGTTCCCCTAAAAAAGTCAGAAACTATAAATGTCTATTAAATGATAAACGTTTAATAGCAAATTTCATGATAGAACTTTAAAGTTTCAATCTGTTGTATGCTCAGAACTTTATTTTATAAAATTAATGTTCTAGAACTAAAGAATTGTGAAATCACAATTTTAAATCACAAATTAAGTTTTAAAATTATGATTTTAAATGGCCAAGGAATCAAAGGTGCAAAATCATCTGGTTAACTAGGTGTTAGTAATTAGTTAGTTGCAATCCTAACTACACAGGAGGTGAGATCTGAGGATCATGGTTCAAAACAAGCGCAGGCAGGAGAGTCTGTGATACTCTTATCTCCAATTAATCACCAAAAACGCCAGAAGTAGAGCTGTGACTCAAGTGTTAGAGTGCTACCCTTGAGCATAAAAGCTCTGGAACAGCCCTCAGACTCTAAGTTCAAGCTCAAGAAAAACAAAACAAAATCTTATCATCTCCACAGTTAGCCTTTATCTTGATGGAAAAAACAGCTGGTAATATGAATACAGTTCCTTAGGCAGGTAATAAGTAATGCAGTACCTTAGGGACTGGATGTGCTGAAGAAACTGCAGCTGGCAAAACTATACTGTGCGAAATACTTCTTTGTCTCCGGGAAAAGAAATTTCTTCTTTGTTGGCTGCTTGACTGCTTGTGTAAGTAGATACGACTGAGTGGTGAAGGGAAAATTCTGTGGCAACCTATATGAGAAATAGATGTATTTTAAGTTTGATAATAAAGAAAAACTAACAGTGCTGTTCTCAAAAGTGTTATCAATTAAATCACTAGTCTAATCTTTTATTGACTAAAAAATAAAAATAAAAGAAGCCCTAAACAGGAAGGAAAGGAGTAGAATTCTGAGTTCTAGTACAATAGTGACACAGCATATTTATTAGCTAATACCATGTTTACATAAACGTCAGACAATGGAAGGCTCTACTTGAATGGGAAGCAAACATATAGAAACATCTGCGAAGCATCAGGTCTATAAAAATAACTATTCTTCTGTTGGAAATTTATGCAACAATGTCCAGGATAACCCTAGAATTTAGAACATTGTTTTGATGGTTTTCTACTCTGTAAAGTTGTTTTTTGTTTGAGAATCACAGACAAGCTGAGCACTGGTGGCTCACGCTAGTAATCCTAGCTACTCAGGAGGCTAAGATCTGAGAATGGATGTCAAAGCCTGCTTGGGCAAGAAAGCCCATGAGACTCTTACCTCCAATCAACTACCAAAAAAGCCAGAAGTAGAGCTGTGACTCTCAAGTCATAGAGTATTAGCCCTGAATAAAAAAGCTCAGTACCCAGGCATTAAATTCAGGACTGGAGAGAGAGAGAGAGAGAGAGAGAGAGAGAGAGAGAGAGAGAGAGAGAGAGAGAGAGCGCACAGGGGGGGAAGAGAGAGCAGGGGGGAGAGAGAGAAAGGAGGGGGGAGAAGGAGAATCACAGACAATTGCCAGCTGCCCTTCTGTCCTCCTTAGGATTACTGCTGTGTATTAAATTCTTGTGTGTCAAAGCACTGTACGAAAATTCGTATCATGAATGTTCAAATGGATAAAGACCTAATAGCAACAATGTAGGTATAACACAAAAGAAAACAAATATAGGGTTCTAAAATACCCAAATAGAAATTTAGAAATAGCTATCAAAATATTAAATGAATGTCTTCTGACTCAGCAATGTATCACCTCAGACTTTATCCTGTGATGTTACACAATGAAAGAGGGATAAAAAATGTATTCCCATTGCAACACTAGGTAGAAAAAGTTGGAAACCATCTAAATGTTTTTGAGTTGGAAACACCACCAGCAGCCCGGCTGCTGTTATATTAGAGTACATCTATACAATAGAAAACTCTAGGGCCACTGAAAAGAATAAGCTAAGATATCTCCATGTATTGATGGGGAAAGAGGTCAGAATACATCATTAAAAGAAAATGCTGAACAATATGCAATAGTAGAAAAAGAGCTTAAATTCTTATTTGTCTAAGTTTATACTTGCCTAAAAAAATCTCTGGAAATTAAGACTCATCAATAGTGGTTATGCCTGGAGCGTGTGATTTCAGCAGGAGGTGGGAGCCTTTTTGGTTCATTTTATTTTCTTCTATATTGTTAGGTTTTAAAATCCATTCACTTATATTATTATTGCAACAAAAACAATAGTTAAAAAAATAACCAGGCCAAGTATGGTGGTCTGGTCCATGCCAGGAGGCAGAGATAAGGAGGTCTGTGGCTGGAGGCCAGTTTCAGCAAAAAGGTTAGAGATCCTACCACAATTAACAAACTAAGTGTTGTAGTTCCCACCTGTAATTCTAGCTAGGAGGAAGAACATTTAGGAGGACTATGGTCTGACACCAGCCCTAGCAAAAAATGAGAGACCCTCTCTGAAAAGTAACTAAAGCAAAAAGGGATTGGCTCAAGTGGTGGAGTACTTACCTAGCAAGCACAAAGCCCTGAGTGCATTCCCCAGTACTATCAAAAACAAAACTCTCCCAAACTCACAGGTCACAACTTCATAGTATAGGTTAATAAACTACACTCCTGGCTCTTAGATAGCTAAACCTAAAACTTTTTTTTACATGTATAAATGCTTAAAAATAATTGAAAGAGAGAGAATACTTTGTAACACATAAAATTGTATAAAATTCAAATATCTTGGCCTATACCAATCCTCACTAAAAACTGTTTATGGCTGGTTCACGGCTGTTGAAGTAGATGGAGTTGGGCTAGGAAGGTGGCTTAATGGTGGAGTGCTTGCCTTGCATGCATGAGGCCCTGGGTTCGATTCCTCAGCAACACATAAGCAGAAAAGGCCAGAAGTGGTGCTGTGGCTCAAGTGGTGGAGTGCTAGTTTTGAGCTGAAGAGCTCAGGGACAGTGCCCAGGCCCAGAGTTCAGGCCCCATGACCAACAAAAAGAAAAAGAAAAAAAAGAAGTAGATGGAATTGTCTGGTGTGACAAAGAATATAGGCATAAGCCTAGAATATTTACCACCAAGATCTTGAGGGAACTTTGCCACCTCAGTCTGGCGCATTGGTTCTGACGAGGAGTCTCCGAGGCTAACTCAGTGTCAGTGTCACTTGTGGAAGGAGACACATTCTATCTACCAATTAAAGATCTGGGCATGTGGCCAGAAACCTGGGCTTTCACCATCCTTGAGAATGTGTAGAAAGCCTAAAAACTACAGGTTTGGGGGCTGGGAAGGGGCTCAGTGGTAGAGTGCTTGCCTCATATGCATGAGGCCCTAGGTCGGATTCCTCAGTACCACATAAGCAGAAAAAAGCTGAAAGTGGTGCTGTGGCTCTAGTGGTAGAGCACTAGCCTTGCGCTGAAGAGCTGAGAGACAGCGCCCAGGCCCCAGAGTTCAGGCCCCATGTCTAACAACGAACAAACAAACAACAACAACAACAAAAAACTACAGGTTTTGAGTAACATTTCTGTTTCTACTAGAACCCAGTGCAAACTTGAACTTCAGATGAGTATTTGTCCTGAAACCCAACTCAGCACAGAGTAGGAAATCAGAAGCCAGCACTTTGTCTTCACTCTACTCCTCCTTACTAGCTGTGTGGCCTGGAACAAGTTTCTTCATTTAGTCTCAGAGAATTTAGCCTCAAAGAATTTAGTTTCAGAATTACCTGCAATAAGGAATATGACAGTGCCATGTCCAATAAACAACAGTTCCTTCAAGAATATTTAAAAAGTAAAACGAAGCCAGGCACTGGTGGCTCATGCCTGTAATCCTAGCGACTCAAGAGGCTAAGATCTGAGGATTGTGATTCAAAGCCAGCCCCGGTAGCAACGCCCTCAAGACTCTTATCTCCAATTAACCATCAGAAAACCAGAGTGGTGTTGTGGCTCAAGAGGTAGAGCACTAGCCTTGAGCTGAAGAGCTCGGGGATAGCACCCAGGCCCAGAGTTCAAGCCCCACAACTGACCAAAAAAAGAAAAAAGAAAAAGCTGGAAGTGGCACTGTGGCTCAAGTAGTAGACTGCTAGGTTTGAGCAAAGAAGAAGCTCAGAGTCAGTGCCCAGGCCCTGAGTTCAAGCCCTAGGACCAGCGCGCGCGCGCGCGCACACACACACACACACACACACACACACACACACAATTAAAATGCTAAGAACACAGAGCTCTACACTTGCTTTTAATTCTGAACATTTACTATGTGTCAATTACTGTACAAGGCACTTCACATGTTAGCTCATTAATCTTCCTAAGAACCTTGTGAGTTATTAACAACTTCTTTCCTCTTCTTCCTCCTTCTTCTTCCCTCTCCCTTTTTCTTCCTGCTTCTCTTTCTTCTTCCTGCTCCTCCTCCTTCTTTCCTCTTCCTCCTTTTTTTTTGTGCCGGGACTTGAACTCAGAGCTTAGGTGCTGTTCCTGAGTTTTTTTGCCCAAGGCTGGTGCTCTACCACTTGAGTCACAGCTCTACTTTCAGTTTTGTTGTTGTTGTTGTTTTGTTTTGTAGCTAATTGGAGATGAAAGTTTCACAGACTTTCCATGGTCCTCAGATCTCAGCTCCTAACTAGCTAAGATTATAGGCTAAAACTACCAGCTCCTGGTTAACAATTCTGCTTTCATAATATACCTTTGTACTTGAAGTGAAATGTTTTCTTACAATCTGATAAAAGTCACCTTATACATATTGCTGTAAATAGTAGGTTAGGGTACCATATTGTATTTATTTCATAAGGAAAAAAAGCGCAGTGTTTTCATAGACAAAATGAAGAAATATATTTAAGTTATGGTACTTTTAGAAGACAACAAGCCTCCAAATAACCTGATATGGAGAAGAACTGGGGAATAGGGAGTCCTCTGCCTTATTTATTATATTGTAATTAATAAGTAGTAATTACTTTTCCCAAATACAGAGTAAAATTAAAATCCTAGTTACTATATTTAGAAGCACAGAAATACTACTCAAACTACCTTATCTGATATAAAACACTGTAGAAAAGGTGTGTTGGGTTTTCCCTTTCTTTCTTTTTGGCCATCATAAGGTTTGAACTCAGGACCTTGTTCTTGCCAGGCAGGTGCTCAACCACTTCAGCTATACTTCCAGCCTATTTATTGAGGAGTGTGTATGTGTGCACGTGTGCACACGTGCACACACCAGTTCTGGGGCTTGAACTCAAGTACAGTGCTCTACCACTTTAAGCCACAGCTCCACTTCCAGTTTTCTGGTGGTTAATCAGAGATGAGAGCTTCAGACTTTCCTGCCTGGACTGGCTTAAAACCAGAATCCTAAAATCTCAGCCTCCTGAGCAGCTAGGATTACAGGCATGAACCACCAGTGCCTGGCACCCTGAGCTTCTTTTGCTCAAGGCTAGCACTCTACCACTTCAAGACACAACTGCACTTTCAGCTTTTTTTGGTAATTTAGTGGACATAAGAGTCTCATAGGGCTGGGAAGGTGGCTCAGTGGTAGAGCGCTTGCCTTGCATGCTCAAGGCCCTGGGTTCGATTCCTCAGCACCACATAAGCAAAAAGAAAAAAGCCGGAAGTGGCGCTGTGGCTCAAGTGGTAGAGCGCTAGCCTTGAGCTGAAGAGCTGAGGGACAGCACCCAGGCCCAGAGTTCAGGCCCCACAACCGGACCCCCCCCCCAAAAAAAAGAGTCTCATAGACTTTCCTGCCCGGGCTGCTTTCAAACTGTAATTCTCAGATCTCAGCCTCTCAAGTAGCTAGGATTACAGACATGAACC